AGGACAGTGTCCGCACCAGTTCAGAGATGATTTGAGGATCTACAGCCGAGTGATACACAAATAAGATACATTTTTCCTAATAGTTAAATTACTTTAACTATGCATTTTTAAGATTTAGCTCCTGCGTTTAGTCTTACTTTAAAGGAGAACTATGAGATGAGTGATTTCCACTCACCTCATAATTCTAGCCGACCTGTGACAATGAGACTGTCACAGGTCGGCTCAGTAGATCGGGAGGTGAGCGAACACATACCAGGTTTGCTCACCTCTCGATCCTGTCACGGCTCTCTGCCGTGACAGGGGGAGGGGCTGGATTCCCCTCTCCCGGCTCCGATCTGCCAGCGCTGACTGGCGGAACGGAAGGGGGAGGGGGCGGGTACAGCTGGCTCTGCCTCTAGATAGGCATAGCCAGCTGTCACTCACGCAGCTGGGCGGATCCCGTCATCTACGTCTCAGTATACCTCGAGTTGTAGCTCGCGGCATACGGAGCTTAGGGTAACGGGAGGACGTTAGTTTGTGTCCTCCTGTTACCCTAAGGAGAACTATGGGGAAAAACACTGACCCCATAGTTCTCCTTTAATGTAATTTCATAAGTGTTTAATATTTTTCATTCTAAAGCTTTCATTAATTTAATTCCTGTCACGATGATCCTTATTGAGGCATTTTCTTTTTGTGGAATGGTCTCTCCATTGTACGTCCATGTTGTTGACACACAATGTCCAGACATTATCCACCATTGTTGCTGTTGGCAAGCTGGTCCAGAACAATGATGTGCATTTGATGCTAAAGAAAGGTCATGTAAACAGTGGCTTGAAGAGATAGGAAGAGATCAGCAGTATTGAGATGCAACAAAGGATGAAAAAAGTTGAAAACCGTATTTTATGGGGAAAAAAGTCATGGCAGTTAATAATTAAACACAGTGCTTTAGCAAACTAAATGTCAGCCAGTTAAGGTTTACATCTACTTAAAGGGCTATTAAACCCTTGCACGTTTTTGCATATATCTACTGCGGGCACATGCGCAGTTCAGATGTTCGGCCGGGAGACGGGGCAAGACCCAAGGTAAGTATATGGAGCAGCGTGCACCCGCACAGACTCTGTGGAACAGCCGAGAAGAGGAGGACAGAGGAGTCGGCGCTGGATCGAAGACACGCACCAATGCTGGAGGGACAGCTGAAAAGGACAGTAAAGAAGATGATCGGATTAAGAGACATAATTTAAGGTAAATCCTTACAGCAGGATTGGGAAAGGGAAAAAAAAGATTGACTTTAATGTCACTGTAACCATACATTTTTTAACTGCCACCAAATGTAGCATCTGGAGGAAGCTCTTAAAACCACAGGGAGACCAAAACACCAGGTTTTCGTTTTCTAAAGCACTATGTATTATATATATATATATTTTTATAGTTTTTACTTTTGTTCATCTTTGTTTGCATTTCAGTACTGCTGATCTCTTCCAGCCTTTTTCAACCATTTATCTACATGCATACACTCCAGCATCAGCTGCACATTATTTCTTTGGTCAGGTTTAGCAATGGTGACAATGATGGGCCATGCAAAATGTGTCGACACAGTCATTTGCAGTCTTCACCAGGGGCACGTGTAACAGGCTGATAATGGAGGAGCACACCTGGGAGCCAGTTGTCATCCTCTAAACAGGAGTTTCCTGAACAAGGACCTTCATGGCAAGGTCACCAGGTATTCTTATAAAGACAGAAAACAACTTCTGAAGTTACATTACCATTTTTAGGCTTATATGAGACT